TCTTTTTCTTCTTGCATTGGAATTTCATTTCTCATCCTTACGATTTTGCTGGAGTTTACTGCAATGGTATAAAGTAATTCATTTTCAATATAGGCTTGTTTTTATTTTAGGAGAAGAAGAAGATGAAGACTAGTGGTTATGGAAAAATCCCACATATGGTATTTGTTTGGGTCAAAATTAGGTCGAGTTTAGTGAATGCAAACGGAGGAGCTGAGGCCGAGGTCAAAGCCAAGCACGGCCCTGTGGCGAGGAGTCGCCCAGAGAGAGACCAGTGCCAAGGTCGAGTAGAGAATGAACAACAGCAACAGTTAGAATATTCTTAGGATTATGAATAGGAATATTCCATTGACTATTCTCCTAATTGTACTTTTTAGGGTTTTCTAGGAATATCCCTTATAAATAAAAGAGAGAGGGAACAAAAAGGGGGCTTCTAGACTTTTCTGAGAGGAACATCTTGTAAAGGGTTGACTGTCAAGAACATACAAAAAGCTTGTCTTGTCTCCTCTGTTTGATTCCATTACTAAACATTCTCTTTTATTCACAAGATCCAAAAACACTTTGTTCATCGCCATAGTCTGCTGTCACACGCTATAGTCAGAAGAAGGATTCATCCATCTTATTCAACATTTGGGTGACAAGTTATTTCTTATTACAATTAGTGCCATTCGTCACATTTTATTGCATGTTTTCATTCTCATATTTATTGATTGTCATTGAGCATTAACTTGGCATTCATGGACTTGAACACAGTCCCGAACCATCAAAATTATTTGATCTTCAGATCAAGGATTTATTACATTTAACTAGGATTCACCCTTTATCTACATATTAAATTTTTAATAAAAAGAGCCTAAAACTTTTTGGTCAAACAATATTGCCGTGGCCAACGAGATGATGGGTGTCTTTTTGGTGGGTTATATCGGAAGGACTAATTTTCTTTTTCGAAAAGGTCTCACACAGACAAGAGGGGTTGCTTAAATGGTCAGCACCCCCACCTGCAATCCCAAGGTCGTGGGTTTGAGTCACTAAAGGAGCAATAGCTCTGGTAGAGGGGATCAAAGTGGAGGGGAATTCCAAAAAAAAAAAAAAAAAAAAAAAAAAAAAAAAAAAAGGCTCTCACGCTTAGAGTAAGTGTAGTATACATACAGTGTCATATTTGCAATTAATGTATTATAGGCTCAATTAAGCTTGAGTTCAGGTGTTTAATAGATACAACCTATAGTTTAAGTGTAAAATTTGGACACGGATGTACATGTGTTCAGCCTACATAATAATCTACTGTTCCTTTTAAAGTTTCATTCTAGATATAACAGAAGGACATGAAAGGATCCTGGGTAAACTTGTATTTGACATCTACTATTTGAAAAAGATTAGCCTTTATGTTTTTGGATCTTTTTATAAGCACTCAAACGTCCAAAACAATATGAAGATTCCAAGACAACGTAAAAAAAAATCAAATTTTAATCTCACACGTCACGTGGCAATCTAACAATGACTAAAAAGATACCTTCACAAATCAAATATTTCTTTTGGTGTACTATCTATCTTGTCTAACTAGTTTGGAGGTTAGGTTCTATGCTTCCTTTTATGTACTACTAGTCTTAGAGTACGTGCGTTGCACATGTAATATATATTAATGAATATTGAATTTTAAAATTACATAAATACTATTAAACAATGTGAATGAATTACAAAATAAATTTTTTTAAAAAGCGCAAACTCTTAAAAATGATGAATATTGTCATATTTACCCAACGTAATAATAAAAAAATTATGTCATGTAAGAGTATTTTAATGTCTTATCATAATTTTAACATATATGAGTTATGCATTTGCTTTAGCAATTGAATAATATGTCGACTTGCATTCAAATATTTTGCAACAATACTATATTCTCTTAAAAATTAATTATGTTAGTTTAAATACCTAATAGTATAAATTTATCTTATTTCTAGTGAAACTCAAATGGAAAAATACGGAAAACAAAGAGATATATTATTAGATTTAGTTATCGTACCAAAAAATTCAATTGGATGGGTACTGTCTATATCTAACTAAAACTTTTCTTGAAAGAGAACAATGATTGTCAATAAAATTAAGGTAGAGAATTAACGTTGGTTACTATTTTATCTAACATGAAGTATTTTGTAGTGTAATATAATTCTCAAAAGGTATAAAAGTTTATTAATATTTTATGGAGATTTGATGGGTATATATAATCATTACAATAGTGTGTAAAATATTTATTTTTATTTGCATACATATTTTAAGATATTTTATTGAGTTATGATATAAAACTACAGTAATGTCTTTGTCACGATCCAATTTAGGATCGTGACCGGCACTCAGGAGCTAGTGCTCCCAAGTAAGTCTCATCGGTATTTTACAGAAAATTGGACAGAGTTTCCCCTGTTTTTGGACTATCCAAAATAAACCTGTCTTAGAAATCAACAACACAACCAACCTATATCGACCAAACAAGCTATAATCCCCATTCACGAAATATTTCCAACACAATAATACTAACTTCATCTTCAATTATACGATAGAAAAGTCTAATACGAATCGCAAGTCTATATTAACAAAAGAATACTTACGACACTCATAAAAATGACTATGGAGCGACTCTAAGAGTTTCAAGAAAGAGACTATAACAAATAAATAATAATCTTTGCCCACGCGAATAAATGCGGGGCTCACCAGGAACTGCCAACTCGTGTACTCTAATTAACGGAATCCTTGCCTGCGTCTACTGTTGTCTCTGTAAAAATAATAGCGGGGAGTGAGTCGCTAGCTCAGTGAGTAATAATATTTAACCACAACCAGTTTTTAATAGGGGACAAGTCAGAAAACATGCTTGTATAATAATCACAAAATAAAATGCCCCTTTTAAAACGGTAATAATAATCAGTCCCATCATGTGTTTCCTGTAACAAAATCAATTTACAAATTCAGTAATAAACTTGGTAAATACTGTGTCATAGCAAATCTTTATATTTGAGAGATTTTCAAAAAAGGATCATGTAATCTGTATCACTGTGTGTACCCCTTCGTAAAAGGAGTCAAGTATAACTGTAGGTCCCTACTCGAGGGAAAACTGTAACTGTATGCTAGTTCTACCTTTCCACTAGCGAGGGCTATAACTGTAATCGGTAATCTGTAAATACAATGTGCACCAGGTCTAGCGAACACGCCGTTAGCTACGGGATCCTTCAAAGTCTCCTCCCATTTATACTCTTTCTTGTAAATAGTAAATACTCATACAAAAGCATTTTTAAAATAATAAAGGGCATATCATTCCTTATCAAATTTTATAATTTTATTTCGGTAACAGTATTCATGTCTCAACTAACAGTAAAACATGTCTAGTAACAGTGAGAATACTTCAAATAACTGCAACATCTCAAGTAACGGTAAAATATATCTAGTAATGGTGAAAATATTTTGATTAATCGGTAAACATCTCAAGTAAACTGTTCGGTATCATATAAAGTAAAGGACTTGTCCCACATGCAAATTTCAAATCATCGGTTATACATTTATTTTCAAAATCATATATAAATCATGCAGGTTATGAAAACACAAATTGTGGTAAGATTACTACTCACAGTACTCGTGTCGAAGTACCAAACTTGTCGCCTCGAGCGATCTATACGACTTTCTTCAATCAATCTATAATCACATCAATATCGATCTTGTGTTAATTGCCTCATTTAGGCTAAATCCATCACTAATTTAGAATACCCAATCCTCCGAGTTTTATATTTTATCATCAATTCGCCGAATTATATTTACCCATGCTATGAGTAATTTAAATTAGTCCAAAATCTTGTAAATAAAAAGGTATTTATATGGTTTATTCCCTATACTGTTCTATTTCCTTAATCGTGTGCATAAATTGAAACTGAAATAACCTTACTGTCCATAATATTCCTTCTTAATTGGTACTTATCTTTTGTACTCAATACTAGACTCACAACATTCAAACCCAATTCGATATTGTCATTGCAATACAGTTAAACACCAAAACTCAATCCTTGCACCCTAACTTGATTTGCACCTAACAATGATCATATATAATGAGACTAGTGTAAGTACAAATACATCAACACCCTTCTTTTTCCAAGGGAATTTATCCTACAGTTACATTGACCAACTTCCAATTGCATAACTTGCCCAGAATAACTCTTATTGGTATTTAATTTCTTGTACCTTGTGAAACCCTTCAAATATATGAACTGAGATAAAAAAAAATAATTACCAGAAGAAAAGAACCCAGATGAGAAATTTGAGAATTACCCCTAAGAACCGGTGCGTTTTTAAAATTTCTCAAGGTTTGTCTCTAGCCTTTTTCTTCTTCTTCTTCTTCTCCTTTGTTTCCTCCTCCACCATTCATTTTTCTTTCTTTCTTTGTTTTTAGCTTCTGTTGCTTAGCAGCAACTTTTCCCCCCTTTTTCCCTTTTCTCGTTTCTCATTCTTATGGGCTTTAGCCCATTGTCCTATTATTTATCTTTTTTTTTTTTTAGTTTAGTTAAAGACTTATATGCCCTCATTAATATATAGGGTATTACATTCTCCCCACCTTATGAAATTCGGTCCCCGAATTTAATTTAAGTACGTACCTGTGGACTGAAATAAATGAGGATACTTCACTTGTATATCTTTTTCTACTTCCCACGAAGATTCTTCAACTGGATTATTTCTCCATAACGCTTTAAGGAACATAATTTCTTTTGACCGTAGCTTCCTTACTTGCCTATCAACAATAGCCATTGGCTCCTCCTCGTAAGACAAGTTCTCATCGAGCGATGTAACAGGTTCTTCAAGCACCTGAGATGAGTCTGATATACATTTCCTTAGCATTGAGACATGAAAAACTGGATGAATAAAGGACAACTCAAGAGGAAATGCCAAACGATAAGCCACCGCTCCCACTCGGTCTAGTATCTCATATGGTCCTATAAACCTGGGGCTTAGCTTGCCTTTTTTCCCAAACTGCATCACACCTTTCATAGGAGAGACTCGTAGGAACACTTTGTCCCCAATTGTAAACACTAAACCTCTTCTTCTCTTATCCGCATAAGATTTTTGTCTACTTTGAGCTGTAAGCAATTTCTGTCGAATCAATTGGACTTTGTTCATAGCTTCTTGTACTAAGTCGGGTCCCAATAAGTTATTCTCACCAGCTTTAAACCATCCGATAGGAGAATGACATCTTCTACCATAC